TGAGTGGACTAAACACATCAAATAAATTACTTATATATAAATTCTAAGGCCAATTATGACATGTGACTTCAAAATCCTTCAAGTATATCAAAACAAGTGCCAGATAGTTATAGTATCTCCAGGCAGATACACGCGAATAGATGACTTGCACGAGGAGGCCGGCAATCCCCAAATTCATGATTATATTCGTGATCAAGGTAGATATGACCAAGGTAGAGAATCATCCAAATTCAACCATAAGAAGCATTACAAGAGGACGTAATCTCGAAAATAATGATGTGCTTACGCACAGACTACCCTTTGGCCTGCCACAGCCTTGAAGCAGAAACGGGGAAAGTCGAAGAAACTTTACAATTTTTTCACTACATCCACGAACACACCTTATTCATGTGAACCGATAATTCAGTTAAACCACAACTTAAAAAAAATTGTATGACCCAGGCCAGGAAAATATGATTTACATAAATGAATACAATGTGGATATTAGACGAAGGAAAAAATCATTAAAACTAAAAAAAAAAAAAAATTATCAGTAGTTATTTATATAAATGGAAAAAGTGACTACGTCCCGAAAATCAACATGTTTGAAAATAATTTGTGTAGTGAACTGGTAAAATTTTGTAACATTTGTAAGTTTTTGTTTATTTTTTTCTTACCCGCTGACAATTTGTTTAAACTCAATTATTACGTAAAAAAAATCTATATTCAAAGAATTACAGAGAAATTAATTCCCGCTGCCTATTGGCAGTAAAAATAAATTCCATCAAGATAATGGACATTGCAGTTTTTGATGATGAGGAAATGGTTCGCGCCGGTATTGAAAATGGGTAGAACATAAGATTGGTTTGTCTACCATGACTTCAAAGTCTTTTATTTAAGTTTCTTTACGCCATTTAATCATTACAACAAAAAGATTCCTCGTTCAGTATTGAAGAACTCTAGTTTTTATGAAATAGAACACTTATTTTGGGACAAATTAAACTCTTAAATCGGACACTTATTTTATTATATCTTAATGATAATTATGTATATCGATTAAAAGAAATATAAACAAAATTAAGGTAAAAAAACTTAACGATTCCTGGCCAAATAATTATTATGTAATTCCTTTCATACTATCCTTTACAAATTAAAATAAAGTGCTTATAACTCACAATATAGTTTAATAATTTAACTGGAAGATAATGAAATCATTGAAATAGAAGAGGTAACATTTTCTTACCACAATAAACTAATAATTGAATCGAAAGTGATGCCAATAATAAAATAATAAGGATAATAATCAAATTTATTGACCAAAAAAAACGGATACAAAAGAAAATAAAAAAAAATATAATGAGTACTTTTGGCTAAACGGAACCGAATCAGTTTAAAAAACGACATGCACACTACTGCTGACTCCGAAGCAATACCTCACGATACCTGCTGTTGATATTACGTTGATGTTTTTGGTCGTTAATGGATTTAGAAATTTTCCAATTCAAATTGTAGAATATTAGCATGAAATAGTCATGCAAAGATGTTTACCTGCCCTTAGGGCAAAACAAATTACCACAGTGGAAACTAAGCAATGTCTTCCATTGACTCCTCTTGAAAGGTTGGTAATGAGCTCTTGAACATCTGCCCAAACAACTGGAACATCTCAACATGATTTTGTTCCAATAAAAGGTGGAACAGACAGTTTTGATCAATTATGCTTTTAATATACAACAGCAAGAAAGATTGTAGAGTTCTCCATTTTATAGTCAATTCTGATTTAACTGTTATGGAATAAAAAAATGGAGCTACTTTTCTAAATGACCTTGGTATTTCTTTAGTAAAACCTTACAAGGTCGCCGGTGTTCCAAGTTAATTTCAATTATGTTCATATTCCAATGATAGAACATAAGGATAGAAATTATTGTCAGAAATTGTGAACGACCAAAAACAATAAAAGTTAAACAAACTTAACTACTCCTGGCTAAATAATTATTATGTAATTCCTTTCGTACTATCGTTTACAAATTAAAATAAAGTGCTTATAACTCACAATATAGTTTAATAATTTAACTGGAAGATAATGAAATAATTGAAATAGAAGAGGTAACATTTTCTTGCCACAATAAAATAATAAGGATAATAATCAAATTTATTGACCAAAAAAAAACGGATACAAAAGAAAATAAAAAAAAAATTACAATGAGTACTTTTGGCCAAAGGGAACCGAATCAATTTAAAAAACGACATGCACACTACTGCTGGCTCCGAAGCAATACCTCACGATACCTGCTGTTGATATTACGTTGATGTTTTTGGTCGTTAATGGATTTAGAAATTTTCCAATTCAAATTGTAGAATATTAGCATGAAATAGTCATGCAAAGATGTTTACCTGCCCTTAGGGCAAAACAAATTACCACAGAGGAAACTAAGCAATGTCTTCCATTGACTCCTCTTGAAAGGTTGGTAATGAGATCTTGAACATCTGTCCAAACAACTGGAACATCTCAACATGATTTTGTTCCAATAAAAGGTGGAACAGACAGTTTTGATCAATTATGCTATTAATATATAATAGCAAGAGTAGAGTTCTCCATTTTATAGCTAATTCTGATTTGACTGTTATGGAATCAAAAAATGGAGCTACTTTTCTAAATGACCTTGGTGTTTCTTTAGTAAAACCTTACAAGGTCGCCGGTGTTCCAAGTTAATTTCAATTATGTCCATAATTGAATACAGATAAGATAAGAGACTCACACAGAACATATCTCACCTCCCTGTATCTCGATAAAAACGAAGATGCAAATTGTTGTTTTTAAATAGAATGCAACAATGTAATGAAAATATGTGTTGAAATGTGCCGAGTAACTTGTGTTAATTAAGTACAAATGAAATATTTATCTTAAACTAGAAAAATTGTTATTTTTTATTTTACAACTTGTTAGTTCATTTCATTAGTAAATAACAGCTTGTAAGATTTTTATATCGAAATATTTAATATATTCTTATAGGAATAACATATGTTTCTTTTTTAGAGAAATAGACAAAATCACAAGAAAAAAAATGCGCATAAATGAAGAATTTTTTTCAAATATTCAAGTTATTTATAGTTGTTTAAAAACAACATAAGAAATAATCGTTAAGGTCAACTTTTTATTGCTTATGAATATGCAAATATTCACATTATAAAAATAGCGAATATTATATAGTAGTAAATAGTTGCACTTAGAAAATGAGGTGCATTCATAAATTTGCAGCTGCAGAAAATAAGTGTCTAAAAGTTAACTGAATTACAATGATTAAACTACTTTTATTAGGTTTTTATACGAGTTTAGTGTACTGTGAATTAGGTAAATATTTTGTATTGTAATTCAATAATATAAATCAATTTGTTTTTAGCTTCTTTCATCAAGCCTTGTAGCAGATCTTCTCCGGATCTGAATACTTGCATTTTGAACAATATCAAAGCTTCGAAACCGTATCTTCTGGAAGGTGTTCCGGAGCTTTCTTTGCCCAGTTTGAAGGTAATCGAAATTCCTTACGCCTTCACAGAGTTCATGGGCTTCCAATTCGGGATTTGGAATTACAAGCTGACCGGGCTTGAAGACATCGAAGTGACGAAAGTCGATGCGGATTTGAGTAATCATAGAATTTCGGCTGAATTGTTGATCACGCATGGACAAGGTGTTGGTTCTTGTCAACTCAAAGGAGATTTGTTCAATTTGAAGTTGAACAGTACGGGACATATTTTTGTGAATGGAAGTAAGTCTATTTTTAGCTAAAGTTTCATGTTTTTACTTCAGTTTTATCTATAACTTATTCGATTTTAGCAAACGTTGTGGTAAACTATACTATACATACGAAGATCGTCGAGAAGCAAGGAGACTTCCACATGCAAATCATTTCGCAGGAAGCCAAAGCTCACGTAAACGGATCGTTTTTCATTCACGTCGAGAATTTGTATATGGGAAGTAAATCGTTGACGCAGAGAATGAACGATATTCTCAACGAAAACTATCATTACTTGTTTCACATTTTGGAGCCGCTCTTGGGAAATGCGTTGATTTCAAAGATCGGTCCCGGTTTGGAAAGTTTATTTGAACGATATTCCTATGATGAAATGTTTCCATAATAATTTATAGTAAAATCTATTATTTTGTTTATTTTAAATGTGTTTTTTCTTTAGAATCATTAACATTATTGTTATATGAATATAATATTTATTTGGTGTTATATAAATAAATTGTTGTTAATCTAGGAGTATTGATGATATTTATGTACGCTCAATAAAATTGTTGAGTAACTCCAAAAATTGGGTTTCTAAAGAAAGTTTGGGAATTCTTCTATGGATCCGAAACAGACAAGAGTTTCGTGAGTTTTTGATAAGATAAATTGAAAACGAAAAACATCTCTTCGAAATGTAGGCTATCATTCCAGAAAATAGATTGTCTGAGTGAGTTGTAACAAAATTTGTTGCAAATCATTGACTTTGAAAAAGAGAAAGAAACACTGTTTCGATGTAAAAAATATATGTAAACAATTTATTGCAAGGTATAGCCATTATCAGTTAATTTGATACAAGAGTTGCAATGTCTTTTATTGACTCCTCTTGAAAGGTTGGTAATGAGAACTTGAAGAAATAACATCTACCCAAACAACTGGAAAATCTCAACATGATTTTGTTCCAATAAAAGGTGGAACAGACAGTTTTGATCAATTATGCTATTAAAATATAATAGCAAGAAACATTGTAGAATTCTCCATTTTATAGCCAATTCTGATTTCACTGTTATACAATCAAAAAATGGAGCTACTTTTCTAAATGACCTTGGTTTTTCTTTAGTAAAACCTTGCAAGGTCGCCGGTGTTCCAACTTAATTTCAATTATGTCCATTCCAAGGATAGAACATAAGGATAGAAATTATTGTCAGAACGACCAAAAACAATGAAAATTGCAAGTGCAGTTATTCTTTAATTTGTATTTTCTAATGTTTTTTAATAAAGATACATCAGTTAAAGATTTTCTAATACATGGACATTGGACATCTTAAATATCCAAATTAATTGAAATATAATTAATTATTTGTGTAGAAATATTAACCGACACAAACTAAAAACCATTAAGTTGGTGAAATTTGTAATAAGATATATGTGTGAACCCTCTCGAGTTGCAAAACGGTTAAAACATAAAATCATTTATATACATAATAAATAATGTTATGTTTGATTTTATTTGGAAATACAATACAATCTGATACGAAAATTGGTAGATTCAAATCTCAGCGACACCAACAATTGTGTAATTTATTATAATTTTGATTTTTTGCAAGTGTTTCCATTTATGTTTGTTTTAATCCAAAAATGGGTTAACTAATTTTTGTTATTTGTTCTTCATTTCCATCATTATCCAGTTTTTCGTAAGCATCTTCTATAGATCGTCTTGATTTTTCAATAGTTATGGAATAGATAGATTTATTTTTTCAATATATTTCTTTGATTTTGACTCTTGCCTTCTTTCATTTCGCATCTGTTTGCTGTCTCAGCTAGATTTTTGTATTTTATTGTTTTATGTATATAATTCTTGCAGTCATTTTTTCTTTTTTCTTATGCACCATTTGTCTTCTCTTGTGCAATTCTCTTATTATTTGCAAAATCTCAATATTTCCTGAATCAGAATTTCGCCTTGTGTTCGGTTTTTATTCAATAGTTTTTTTGATTTTTTATCACTTGGGATAATGAGGACAAGTCGTTTTCTTCAATTTTCTTAAGGCCCTTATGGTTGACCTCCTTTTTTTTCTTACTAATTTCTCCGCCATATTTTCTTGATTATATTGATGTATGATTAAACTTTATTAATTGATTATTGACACTTTTGTTCGGTTTGAACTCAGGAGCTCACGCCAACACGTGCACTCCGTTCAACGTTTCTGATATAAAATGAATACATTTCTTCTTTGCTTCGTGCGGTTTTGAAAAGAAAAAATCTGTTAGAATTGCATTCAGCCACAGTTTTTGTGAATGTTTGCTTCAAAAAAGTGTTTTTTTGTGAGAAATTGTAGCAAAATTTATTGCAAATCATTGAAACTCGTAAAATTTATTTGAAAAATCACAATTTACAAATACTTTAATGAAAGAAATAATACATTTGGAATGCAAGTTATTTTCTCTTTTAATTATCCTACTTTCCTTATTTACATTTATATTTATATAGTATGAATTAGGAAATCAAAATTGTATCATTAAATAGGGTTTAATTTTGTAAAATATACAAATTATAATTATTATAAATGAATCAATTTTATAGTTGTAAATTAATTTGGTTTTCTTATAAATAATGAAATTCGATAGAATGGGTGATATTTTTGTGAATGTAAGTAAGTTTTCTCTGTTGTATTACATTTTGAAAACGGCCGTTATTGAAAGAGATCGTCAATGAATGGAATTTTCTTTCTTTCATTTAACTAATCTTTATTTGGGAAATGTTAAATTAACGCACGGAAAGAATGATTGTTACTACTTGTTCGTGGTTCTCGTTCCTGGAAGGATCGTTGGTGGGATTAATTGGACCTGTTTTGGAAAATTTGTTATGAAGAAACGTTTCCAAAAAATAATTTGTTAATTTTTATGTTAAATAAAGAAATTTGATTCCATTTTACCTTTTTCAAGTTTAAACTTTAAATAAATTAACAAATGTTGCCAATGTCTTAAGTTTGAATGTAATTTATTGCAAAAAAAAAAGATTTACTATTCGAAAAAGAAAATATATTTTCTCAAATTGAATTTTACAATTTTCTTAATTTTCGTTAAAAATATATAATTACATTATTATACGACAAAGTAATAGAAAAATTACTACATGAAAATTTTACGGTAAAATAAAACTGCATAATTATTTTTAATAGAAACCGTAATAAAAATTTATAATTATATTACATTTTATTTTATACTGAAATAAATGGTTGATGATTTAATTGATAATTGGAGATAATTATAAAAAAAAATAATTAAAGTATTCACAAATTGCTCATAAATATTTATAAACTATTGAAATAAATTTGTGATTTTTATTTAGTCTTCAATCATTTTCGATTGAATCGCAGTCGAAAGAACGCAGTTTAAACATTAAGAAAATGATGAAATATTTTATATTGTTGAGCTCTTGCTATGCTTTAGCTTTTGCTGAATTAGGTAAGAAATGATTTAGTTTTAATTCAATAAAAAATAGATGAAAAATTTTACTTTCTTTAATTAATTAATCTTAACTTGATTTTAGCTAAATTCTTGAAGCCTTGCAGTAGATCTTCGAGTGAACTGAACACGTGCATTTTGGAAAATTTGGAAGCTTTGAAACCGTATCTGGCGCAAGGAATTCCTGACCTTCAAATACCCAGTTTAAATGTCACTTATATTCCGTACTCATTCGTGAACACTTCGACTTTCGAATTTGGTTTATGGAACAACAATGTGACAGGATTGGATAACTTTTTTGTCCAAAGCGTCGAAGCGGATCTGGAGGAAAATAAGTGTACGATTCTGGTCTTGTTTCCTTATTTGCAAGGGATGGGAGCGTGCGGCATCAAAGGGAAACTCTTCAACATGAATTTCGATAGTATGGGCGACATTTTTATCAACGGATGTAAGTTTTCAAATAATTTAATTATAATAAAAGCGTTTTTTCTTGTATGATTGATATTTTACTTCAAACATTATAAAAGTTCTGCAAAGTTTGTCAACTTGAATAGAATTAAAACGTATATATTTTTCAAAAACTATTGAGAATTTAAAATAACATAAATTGTAAAAGTTAAGGAAATTGTGCTAAGGACAGTCAATGGGCGATTAAAACACTTTGTCTGGTTTAATAACATAACACTTTGTCAAATTGGAACTTTTATACTAGAAAGCGAAGCAATGTGTGTTAAAGACATTAATTGAATAGGTGATCAATACACTTTGTCAACTTCAGTAAATTGGTAATTTTTACTAGACTACTAGAAGTAACACAAATTGTAAAAGTTAAGCAATGTATGTTAAGGACAATAGTTGAATAGAAAATATCTAGCAAATGCATTAACAATTAATCATATTCTTATTTTAGCAAATTTCTTGATGAACTACACTCTACACACGAAAGTAATCGAGAAACACGGTGATTTCTACATGAAGGTTTCATCTCAGGAAGCTCACGTCAAATTAACGAACGGATCTTTCTACCTGAACATCGAAAATCTGTATCTGGGAAGCAAGAAATTGACGCAGATGATGAACGAAATTTTGAACGACAATTACTATTATTTGTACGAAAAAATCTGTCCTCTTCTTCAGAATTCTATTACAAGATTCATCGGTCCAGCTTTGGACAAACTTTTTGAAAGATACACCTACGATGAATTGTTACCATAGTTATAAGTTTTGTACTTTAAATTTTAATTAATTTTAGAGGTGAATTTTGGATAATTATTTAAACAACACTGTCAAATTATTATGTAAAAAAAACTATAATTATTTACAGAATTTTTCGATTAAATTTAATTAATTAAATTGAGATATACATTTCTAGTGAAATACAACAATTTCGACGTGATTCGGGTCAAGAAAATAAAGGTTATCTCGTTCAGTTGTGTTGTTTAATTGGTTTCGATGATCAAAAAAATGTTTACAGAGAGACTTGATATGATAGTAATAATATTGTTTGTTTGTGAAACGCAAATTCATTTCTCATTTATCGGCGCATTCTGCAAAACTTTTCGATTTCTCAAAACTGTTCTTGCGCAAATGGAAATTTTCATATTCCATTGAGAATTATGATTTTATTTAATTCCTGTTTTCAGTAGCAAGAACATTTATCTGAATTGTTTATTTTGTTTAATTATGAAAATATTTCTTGGAAATATAAATGTTTTTAAATATTTTGTATCCCAAAATTTACATTTATTAGAAGTTGTATATTTTAATTTGATTATCAATGTTTTCATTTGTATACATAACTAATATTAATATTATCGATTAATAAAAAAAAGTTTTAAGTAAAAATTTGCAGTAAAATCTCGGTTTACGAACAAAACTTTTGCAGCTTGTAACAGACGGACGGTTCATAACTGAATTATTCTAATAAATTCATTGGATAGATTATAGTTTTCTATTTCATTATCATTTTAAATGGACTAATTAGTGTATTTAGTTTTTGAGTAATTAAATAAAAGGTGAAGCTGTTTCTGTTGAAACTCGTTTTTTAATGCTCAACTTTGACAGCTTATAACAAATGAACGGAACTCAACACATATAATTGAGTAGGCTTATTGAAAAGGTCATAATGTTGTCTTTAATTTGCATATTTACTTATCAAATTGTCTTACCTAATTATTGAGTACTTATATAAAATATTAAAGCATGTTGAAAATAAATAAATATTAAAATTATTTTTTTTCAAAATTTGCATTTATTGGAAATTGTACATATTTTAATTTGATTATAAATGTTTTTTTTTGTATATATAACTGATATTAATATTGGCGATTAATGAAGAAAGTTTAAAATAAAAAATTGCAGTGAAACTTCGGTTGACGAACAAAACTTTGGTAGCTTGTAACAGACGGACGGTATATAACTGAAATATTATAATTGGCTCATTGAAAACACTATAGTTTTTTAGTTAATAATCATTTTAAATGTAGAAATTAATTTATTTGGTTGTTGAGTAATTAAATGAAAACTGAAGCCGCTTCTTTTGAAACTAGATTTTTTAATGCTCAACTTTGACAGCTTATAACAAATGAACGAAGCTCAACACATTGAAAAGGTCATAATTTTATCTTTAATCCGCATATTTTCTTATCAAGTTATCACTCTTAATTATTGAGTAATCATTTAATGTATTAAAGCACTTTGTAAGTAAATAAACATAAAACATTGTTTGTTTTTCATCTTCCCTATAAAAACAGGACGAATTTCCTCCATGTATATAACAGGAATAGGAAAAGTTATTTTCGGCACTCAATTTTGCCTTTTCAAAGCGACATCTTATCCAAATCCGAACCGAAAGCTCCGACAATCCAAAGTATAAATAAAAATAAGCAAAAAAAAATCAAAACTATAAATTGTTTTGGAAAGAATACCGGATAATAAATAAACAGTCTTATGAAAATGGAAATTTAATAACAGCGGATGGAAACATGTTTATGAGGCGGCAAAAGCCGGCTCGCATCTTTTCTGTGTCGCACTGCAAATATTATTCCAGGAAAATTGAATTTTCACCATACAAAAAAAAATAATATGTGTGTTAGGGGTGAAGATCATTTTTCCTGCCTGTCCTCCCATATACATGTTAAATTCACTGATACGTGCTTTTTAGTTAATCGTTATTTGTGCAATTTTTTTTTGTTGTGTTGTATTTTTTTTGCATTTTCCATCAATAAAATATATTTCCCTACGTGCATTTTGCATATTTTCGCGCTTTTATGAAAGCCAGACATGCGACACAAATAAAATACAAATATCAACCAAAAAAATTGTATATGTGAAACAAATGGAAATAAATACAAAAAAAAATGAAACCGGAAGTTTCGTCTGTCACGGAAATGTAATATGTAAATGCATGTAAATCCCGACAGTGCGGAAATAAACGTTGATTCAAATCAATTGGCTAAAACCAAATATAACTTAAATCTATTGCATAAAGGATTTTATATTTAGTTTATATCAATTTCGAAAATCTCATGAAAAAAATATGGTTTTCTTATATAATTTTTATATTTTTTTTTTAATTATGTTGGTAAAATAATCAAAAGCTAGTACAAATATTGACTTAAGTATAGTTTATGTAAATTTTAAGGAAAAAGTAATTGTCTTATGCAGTTTTTTTTTCCTAAACTTCTGAAGATATATCAATTTACATAAGTTTATATGGAAAACCTTCCATTCATGAAGTTTTCACATTTCATCTTAATCCGTTACTAACTCAAATGGTAAATTTAGTGATATCATCTAAAGAAAAAAAGAATTTTATTTTTGTTATATATTGATTATGTACATTTACTAGTAAAAGTGAATAGTTGATTTATTCATATTTTTACAAATTTTCAGTGTGAATTTGATTATTTCTTTTTAAATTATTATGACATCTACAATTAATAAAGAATTATTAATTAGATAATATATACATTTACTAGTAAAAGTACATAAATGTAATGTAGTAATTCATTTTTTTTGTAATTAATTATTAATACATCTACACTAAACACAAGTCTATATATTAGATATTGTATACATAAACTAGTAATAGTGAATATTTTATACAAATTTTCTGGAAAAACTAATTGTCATATGCAGTTTTTTTTTCTAAACTTCTGAAGATATGTCAATTTACATAAGTTTACATCAATTTTGAAAACCTTATAGAAAAATGGTTTTATTTCTATGATTTATTTAGCAAAATTATCAAATTTTATTGATTATATGGACTTAAATGCAAAGATTAAATATATTTTAAAAACCTGTGGTAAGTATTGATATTCTTGTATGTTTTTTTAAATTTATAAATGATAAAAATATTGAAATAATTAACAATGAATGAATAATTGGACACATGTCAGAACCTTGGAGAACTCCAGAATGAAATGTGTAAAATTACATTAATTCTTGACAAAATCATGTTGACAAAAGTGTTTATCCACTTTTACTTGAAAAAAAAGTTTTCTTTCATTTGGATAAACAGTCGTAAATAGGTCTACAGTTCATCTATTTCCATGATTATCGATAGGATAAACAAGTGTTATCTTGGTTCATTCAACAAGTTTCCACATTTCATTTTAATCCGTTACTAACCCAAATGGTAAATTTAGTGATATCATCTAAAAAAAAGAATTTTACTTTTGTTATATATTCATTATGTATATTTACTAGTAAAAGTGAATATTTGTTTTATTTTTACAAATTTTCAGTATAAATTTGATTGTTTCTTTTTAAATTATTAATAAAGAATTATTAATTAGATAGTGTATACATTTACTAGTAAAAGTACATAAATGTAATGTATTAATTCAATTTTTTTTGTAATTAATTATTAATACATCTACACTAAACACAAGTCTATATATTAGATATTGTATACATAAACTAGTAATAGTNNNTTTTTATTTACAAATTGTTAAAATTGTTTATATTTTAAATTAATTATGTAAATTAAAAATGTATATAATTTCTCTGCTTTTTCCATTATTAAACCAAATACAAAGTTCTAGAAAACATGTTTACTGAAATAATGTATTCTTGTCTTCCATTTATAGTTTCATGACTTATCAATGTTGTAACCTTTAGTAAATCAATAGTAAATAAAGTTGAAGATGTGAAGTGAAATAAATACGTGCAAGTAAATTTGTGGACGTTCTTCCTACAACTACGTAAAAGGTTACAATCAACAGGTGCCTTTCAGAGGAAAATCGAAAGAAAAACGCGACGTATTGGATAGACTTTTCCGACCACAAAAATTCACCTTGTCTTTGACATTAATTCGAGAATTTCTACGAAAATAGTTATGTGAAGTTTTAGTTGCAAAATGTAATATGTTCATTACTATTTTATTCAATTTAACGAGAATTATCAAATTAAATAAAAAACTCATAAAAAATTATAAAATTATTAAATCATAAAATGATAAATTGTAATTGGAAAATTCGAATATTTAACTTTTTTGCATAATTAAGTTTTTTTTTGTCTTTTTTCACTTTAATCATTATATCAGTTACTCAATATGTTCAACTGTTGCTTACAAATTAATGTTATCTAATCTAAACAAACAGAACTGAACGCTTGACAGTTTTTTCTATATTTTTGTGAAGATAAAAACGTACGTATTCAACAAAAATAAGTCCATACGTTGAGTGCATTTTTCTCTGTTTAATTTAAAGTCTACAGAAAGATGAAATGAGTCACAACACTTGAGTTTAATACGCTATTTCAATGGAGTAATTAAAGAATCTAAAGTCGACTAACTTATTCATAACATTGAAAAGAAAAATAAATATAATTATAGTCATAAAATCATTAATTATTACATATAAAAAAATAGAAATTTTTCACATAGAAAAATGAATGAATCTGCAGTTTACTCGAATATTCATAAAAAAATAAATAATTAAAGTCATAAAAACATTAACAAATATAAATGTTTATTAAAATAGATAGAAATTGAATTCTAGTTAATGTCTTGAAAATCTTTAATTTCATTTTCAGCGTTTTTCTGATGAAAAAATGGGTAAATATTAAAAAACGGGAAATAATATAAATTGAGTATTATAAATGTTGATAATTAAATACCTTTATTTACTTTTGTGTTATAATACGAAATAAATGAAATTCAATAAATACTTTTGAAGTTGATTTAATTATTTATGAGATATACAATTTAATATAAATGTAAACATAGTTTGATTTGTGACAATGTAACAATTGGAGTTATTCAATTCGCA